TTTACCTTTTGTATCTCTGCTTCTTCTGTATCTCTACTTCTGTCTCCTAGAACCTCAGTCGGCCTCGGCAGATGGTTCTGCTGGAGGTTTCTTCCTGTTAAAAGGGAGTTTTTCCTCTCCACTGTCGCTACAAGCATGCTTAGTGGGAGGGATTGCCTTCCAGTCAATGAGTCGATCTGGTGAATTGTAAAGTATCTTGAGATGACATGTGTTCTGAAATGGCGCTATATAAATAAACTGAATTGAATTGATAAACACACTATTATTAAATACACATATACTGTTTATAAGTCTCTTCATTTTTTTTAAAACATATTTCTAACTTCACCTTAGTGTTGTGAAGACGAGAGAAGTTTAATGTAAAATGTGCACTGCACTGATAGGTTATCAAACATATTGATAGTCGGAAAAGTATTATGTTGTTTCCTTTCTTTATCATTGTTAATTTTAGATTTATAGATTATTTTCCTATTAAAACAATAATGCCTCAAACAACCTAAAAATATATTTTGAAACTTTGATTTATTTGGATTATTGATTTTGCATATATTTGTAAACTTATTTAATTAAAAGAATCTTTGATTCTCTTGAGAAAGCATTTTCCATGTTGAAACTAAAAACGAGTTTTTCATGTTAATAAATATATTTCTATAACTGTAATTATTTAGCATTTTTATTCCCATGCTACTGTATCAAGTATTGAATATTTATGATCGATATTGAGTTTGAAATATTTGTATCATGACAACCCAGCTGCATGGGTTTTTTTGTTTTCTGACACCGACTGAACAGTTCCCCACTGAATAACCGGTATTAACTTTGAGAAAAAATCAAGCAGGTTGTTGGGAAAATCTTTGTATCCTGTTAATCAACCAAAGATTGCATTTGAATGATTTTCTAGTTTTTAAAATCCTTTTGGGCTGCGAAGTCTGATAAACTATAGAAAATCCACAGATGACTGCTGCTTTCTCCTGTCAAAATCGGATTTTTCTGTCTCACTAATCCCTTGTCACAATCTGCATCCTGTATATCTCGCTCACTGCCTCTCTGTCTCTCTTTCTATGTGCAAACAGTGTGTGCGTGTGGGGAGGGGTGTGTGTGTGTAAAAGAGTCCATCCCATTCTGTCAGGCCAGGCCACTCTTGATTGGGGACGTTTATCCTCGCCTCGCCTGAGTGAGAATGCTGAATTGGACCTGGCTTCGGCACTGA